GCTTTATATGTGAGAAGGAGGAAAATACTCAGACATCTTAAAGAAGTTGTTTAAATACATGCGATTTGGCTGAGGGTTGCTAAACAAAAGCTGCTTTAACTCAGGCTTAAACACACCCTGTTCTTTCTTTTTTTAACTATGATGCCAGCAGTGAGTCTTTTCTATTAATAGCCAGTGAAATAGTTAAAACATATTCTATTCAATATGAGGCTCACATCAAAGGTTTAACATCGAATTTATATTTTGTTTTTACAGGAAAAAAGACAGTATTAAATATCTCAGCATGTTATGCTTTTAACTTTTCTTTACTTTAACAGAAATAAAAAATAGAAAATTTCAGAACCTCAGTTTTTTAGTCACTCTGTAATGGAGAGAATACATAATAATATATTTCTAACAAAAAATAAATAAATAAAAAAAACATTACGTAAGATAGTTAAAAGTTTGTCTAATAATAATAAAATTTACCTTTAGGTCACTGTATTAATTTATTTCCAACTCTTTTAGGACCGGTGAGGAAAAGTTTATAATATTCCAAACATTTCATGTATAAAGTGAAAAAGTTGGCTTTGTTTCTAGGAGCTGAAATAACATGAAGCCTTGTGACGTTTCCAGGTGAGTCGCTCTTTTATTTCTCTCGCTTACCTGTAAATTTCCGCCCGACATTTGTTTCTGTTTTCGGTTGAATCTCTCCGGCTGCGTTAAGGTATAAAATATTAAAACTTCTTTCTTCTCTTGGTTCCGGCCTCATAAAGGTTATAGTTGAACAGGTTTAATCTCTAAATATCCCAAATGTCTACCTCTCTTCCGCGTCTGAACTTCGAGCGCCGCTTCCGCGCTCCTCACGTGACCTGCTACGTCATCAGCAGGTGTGAAGAGACGCTTGTTTGTCTGTTTTTCGCCGCTCTTACCCAATAAAGTCATTTGTGATTAAATATAAAAAGGACATCCATACACCTTTCCTGAGTCTGTTCCGGTGCTGTGAGGTGATGTATGGAGAGCTGTTTGTAGATATAATTATTAGGAGCAATATTTATGGTTATTTAGA